GATCCGAGCATGCAAGCCGTGGCTTACAAAAACTTCAGCAAAAGAGAAGGAGGGCGGGAAAGACAAAGAGCAAGAAGGAAAATACAGTTACAATGACGCCCACCCAAAATTACAGTTACACACACGATTAAGGGTGCCTACTAATCACAATGCCGTTGCAGCCGCAATAAGAAGCGCGTGGACACAGGGCGCCGCGCGACAGGAAAAATCCTAATAACTGAATTCCTAATTCCTTTCTAATGTGGAAAAGCAAAAGCACGAATTCCAGAAAGAAAGTCTGAAATTCCGAGAGTCATCGGGGGCTCGACAAAAATTCGAAAAAGATTCAAAAGGGAAATTCGAAAATAACAAAGCAATTTCCCGCGCGATGTTCGCGCCCAAAAGATCGAAACCGAACCGAAAGAAACGACGTCAACATTTATTAATTGCGCGCGCGTGTGACGACGCGCCAGACATTCATCCGACCAATCAATCAACCGTCCGTCCCAGGACACACCCAGCTCCGAACCCAGTCACCTGACAAGAAACGACGAAAAAGACGAAAAAGGAAGGGTACTTATGCAATTTTCCACCGATCCCGATCTCTCGTAATTGGCCCAATCTTCCCAGCTTAGGACGCCTCGTTGCAACCGCGCAGAAAATCGCATGTTACAGAAAGTGGTTCGTCACATATGTGACGCCCAGGGGGTTCCAATATTAGCAAACTCTTGCTTGCTTGTTGACACGTGTCGATTTCTCTAATCGATCGACACGCGGAGCACTTCCTTCTATGCCACTTACCATTCGATTGCGTGGGGACGTCATCCAACGTGGCAACACTGCTCTTCTACTAGTTCCTCAGATTGGGCTCTCGATGATTCAAGGACGGGATCTTTCTCGTGCCGTCGCCGCGACACGCGTCCATTACCTGCTGCATCAGTAATTAACCGGGAGGGGGAAAGGAAGTTGGTAGATGGCGGCGTGGCGGGGTGGAGGGTTTATGGGTAGCGGGGGAAGGAGCCTTTCCATTCCGGCTACGGTCTCCGGGAGCTCCTGGTAACGAACAATGCGATGAAAACGGGGGAATCGATTGCCAGTGCGAGGGAGGGATGCGAGATAATCGGGGTAGAGGGTGGTGAGAGCTTGGAAGAGCGCAGCGCGGAAACGATCACGGTCTTCGCATGCGGGGATGGTCCCCGTTATCACGCAATAAACCTCGATCATATGGTGGCCTCGCCACGCGGCACTAAGGAGCAAGACATGGAGGCAGAAGGCTGGGACGGCGCATCAAATGGAGGGGTGGGGATGCACCACTATAGCGAGGCGAGCAGCGTAGAAGTGGCGGAAGGTGTCGCGGGGAAACGGATTGGAGGGGAACGTGATGGGGGTGGTGAGCTGGCGGAGGGTGAGGTAATCAAGGGGACAGCGAGAGAGTGATCGGGGACGAAGGCAGATCGCCCGTATCGGTACGTCGGCGGACTGGGGGACGGGTTGGGGAGGAGGGGGATCGGCTCCGTCGCCGCGCTGATGGGGTCGGAGTCGTGGCCGCGAGGTCGCCATCTTCAGGTCGGGGCGGCTCCAGATCTCGGTTCGGGTCCTCGCGGATCTGCAGATTTGTTGCGCTTACGAGCTCTAACTCCTTCTTCCAGGCCGCGATCTTTTCTTTTTTGCGGGCTGCCTCGGGATCCTCAGCCTTTGTACCTGTGCGCAGCGCTTCTTCCGGCACGGCTTCCCACTCCGACCCAACAGATTCTTCTTCGTGCTCCTCTTCTCCTTCCTCATCTTCTTCTTCTTCTTCACTTTGTTCCCCCTCGCTATGCTCGCTATAGCTTCCTTCTTCGGGGGTTTCGTCTTCTTCCCCTGGCACTTCGTCGCTATCCCCGCCTTCTTCCAACCCGTCTCTGTTTTCGTCACTCTCGGTGCTCTCTTCCTCCTCCTCTTCTTCTCGAATAGCCGCAAGCTGCTCCGCCGTAGGGTGTCGGAAGAAGGCAGGATTGCGAACCATCCGGGGATCCAAATATTGTTGCTGCGACGGCGGGATGCGTTCTGCGGCTCCCTCTATGCAAGCCGACCACTGACGATGAGGTGTCAAGGTGCGAGAAAGCACATGGGGAACTGGATGCTCGTCGTCTTGCGAGATGATGTCAAGAGGGAGATCGTCCGCCAGCTGCGCTACCGGGATCGTGAGCTCTTGCGTGATAAGTTCCTGATGGTCGGGCCGCACCGTACCGAATAAAAACGCGAGAAGCTCTCCCTCCACGTTGGTGCGCTAGGCCTGGATAAACAGCAACTCTAGGCGCTCTATGCAAGGCGGGTGCGCTTCGTCCTCGATCCACGTCAGTCGTACTTCAGCCAAGAACAGTGAAAGCTCGATGAAGTCCTCGCGCCACAGGATCCAATGGGGAGGATGAAGAAGGGGGACAGCAAGGGGGCTTAGAGAATAGGAAAGGCGAGGATGGATGTCGGACTGCCAGAACGTGGGGAAGGTGGAGAAGAGATAAAAAACGGAGATCGGAGAGAGACTCATTGGGGACGTGGGAAGGGAACGAGGACAGGGAGATCTGCCGGCGGCTCGCGCTGATAAATCCGAAGGCCGTCGTATTCAATTGCTTGTGTCGTTGCGACTATATCTCCGGGACGAGCCAGAAGTTGGGTCCACTCGATGACCAGATCGTTTGCCCACGCACGCAGCGACGCCTTCACCGCTGAATGTCGTAAGGGAAGGAGCGTGGAGAGATCGCCATGGAAGTTGATGACAACCGATATACGACTGACACCTGGCACCGCTCGCTGATGAACTGCCACTGCTTCGGCCAGTACCACCTCGTCAGGCCGGCCTTCGATTCTGAACACCGCCGCTGCGTTCACGCCTTCCGTGCAGAAGAAGTGCGCAAGCCGTCGAAGATCTGGACTGAGGCAGGGATGATAGACCTGCCAGATCGCCAATCGATCACGGGGCGCAAGCGCTGCTTCGCTGAGGGCTCTTTCCTCCAGAAAACTCATGGCGATGGGGACGGGGACGGGGAGGCAGAGAGGGAGCAAGAGGAAGAGGGAGATGCCGGAGAGGCAGAGCCGTCGTCGTCGGCTTCCTCAGAGAGAGAGATTGAGGGAGAAGGAGACGGAGCAGAGGGGAGGAGGCGAAGATAGGACACGTGGCGTGTGATCGGACGAGCCGATCGACTGCCAGAGACCTCGGGTGCGAGACGCACGGTGTCCACGCCGTTAGGCTCGAGCTCGATCACGCGATATCGCCCGAAGAATCGTGGCGCTAGCTTACCCTGACGAGCACATTTCCTTATCTGCACCACGTCCCCCAATTTGTACCGGGGCCGTGGACCTGCATTCCCATTTCGGGCCTTGTAGCTTCGGACCTGTCGGCCTTGGGCTAGTTCGGTTATTTTCTGTCGTTTTCGGGCTAGCCTGGGCAGTGACCGCTCCATTAACTCTAGGTGTCGTTTGGCCTTGTCTCGAGCCGTAGCCCTAGTGGGCCGTCGGTTCAATGTAGACTCATCCGGGAGGCTTGGTATCGAAACGCAAGCGACGCTATTGGTCCTTAATTGGAAGGGGCTAAGCCCCGTCGATTCGTGGGGCGTTCCGTGATGGACCGCCAGGATGTGATCGACGATATCGGGCCAGGGCCTCGGATCCCGTGCCGCGATGTTTCGTCGCAATGCTGTCTTTATCACCCGGTTAGCGTTCTCGGCCAGCCCATTAGATTGTGACATATGGGGTGCAGTATTTTGTATGGCGACGCCATGTATGACCAGATTCTTTAACACTTCTCCCCTGAATTCAGCCCCGTTGTCGGTCAGGATTTCTTTCGTATCTTGATGCATCCCGAGAAAACGGTTGACATATCGCGCGATTTCCGTGGCTTGCCGCGTGCGACAAGGATACGCTTCGATCCATTTCGAGAAATGATCGACAAATACCAATAAGACTGAATACTCGCAACTATTAGGGTCAGGGGGCACCACTATGTCAGTAGTGTCCATGCTCACTCTTTGAAATGGCCGTTCAACAACCGTGGGCACTATCGATCTTGGCGGCTGAATCGGCGCCTTATCAGCGGCGCAGACTTGACAGTTGGCGACGATGTACTTCACATCGTCGCGGATATTGGACCAATACCACTGATTTTTGTCGATAGCGGACTCCGTGATTCGTACGGCAAAATGGGCCGAAGTTTCCTCGTGAGATGTCTTAACCCAGTCATACCGCATGAACGGATGCGGCACTACCATCCAAATCCCACTGCCATCCGTTTTCCGTTTTTCCAATCTACCCTCTATCCATCGATAATCCCGAGCCCTTTCGTTGGCCCTCCTTCGGTCTTCCTTGGTGAAATCCTGGAGGGGGTTACCTACTAGGGTGGCAATTAAAGCAATATCTGTCCATACTTCGGCCCTTCTAAACTTTCGGGTCTTTTCCAAGGGGCATAACCACGGTTTACTATCGAGCCTCGGTCGAAATCTTGTCGGTCCAGCACAAGGGGCATAACCACGGTTTACTATCGTTTCTGTACTGGATGCACGAGCCATGGGCTCGTGCGACACACTGTCGGCAATCTATCTAATCCGCGTACCCTTCCCCGTTAGGACGCATGGAGACCGCGTATATGCGGGAGATGGCTTCACAAAAATAGCAAAATTTGTCAGGCAGGGAAAGGAGAGACGAAGAGGAAGGGGGAGAGAGAGGGGTCGTGGGGTTACCTCCATCACCCATCGCCACTGTTTTACTTCTTGCTACGTGGAAGAACCCCCACTTGTCCGTATTTCGGCTCGTTGGTCAAGTCCGACTCTTTCCACGGTGTAATTTCCTCGCCCTTTGGTACCTTGGCAGGTCGATGCAGATGTGTCAGCCCGTCTGCGTTGCCGTGTCGCTCTGTCTTTCGATGGACGATATCGAAGTCGTATTCTTGCAGTCGCACCGCCTAACGGCCAATCATGCCCGTGTAGTTGGTGAGTTTTTTCAAGGCTAGCAGAGGCTCGTGATCCGTCACGAGGCGAAACTTCTGTCCGTAGGGATACGGATGGAAGTGTTGGATTCCCCAAACTACTGCGTAGCATTCGCCTTGAGGTGCCGAGTCATTCCTTCGTTCGTCCGGTACGGTGCGTGAGGCGTATTCGATGACGTGTTCACGACCATCGTTCCCCTTCTGTGCTATAATAGCGGAAAAAGCCTCCGGTTGCCAGTCCGTGATGAGAATAAACGGTTTCGAGGGGTCCGGCCGAATCAAAATAGGGGTCGTCGCCAGAGCGTCCTTGAGGGTTTCAAAAGCCTGTTGACACTCCGCGTCCCAACTGAGAGGCTGGTCCTTCCGTAGTAGGTTCGTTAATGGCCGTGCAATCGCGACAAAGCCCTTAATGAAGCGCCGGTAGTACGACGCCAACCCCAAGAAGGCTCGAACGTGCGTCAGTGACGTGGGAACCAGGGTTTTTTTCACCGCTGCAACTTTTCTCGAGTCCGGTCGTAACCCTCCACGAACGAAATTTCCGAGAGGAAAAATTCGCTCTTTTCGAGCGCAATCTTGAACCCAGCGTCCCTCAACGCGCCCAATGTCCATTCGATATGTTGTACATGCCCGTGATAAGTTTTCGAATAGACCAGGATGTCATCCATGTATACGATCACGCAGAAGTTAATCATCCCTTGCGTCAACCATGTCTTGTTGACGAAGTTCTGGAACGTCATGTTCATCACTCGCTGAAACGTGGCAGGCGCATTGCAAATCCCCATCGGACATTGAACCCATTGCCACATACCCTCAAACAACACAAAGGCCGTCTTCAGCCGATCTTCCTCTTTGACCAGAATGTGATGAAACCCATGCCGAATATCAAACTTACTAAAATAATTAGCACACCCAATCGCATTCAGCAAATCGCCAATCCGGGGGAGGGGATACACATCTTTGATCGTGATCTCATTTAGTTTGCGATAGTCAATGCAAATGCGAATCGCTCCATTTTTCTTGGGTACTAACACTACAGAAAACGACCAAGGTCTGGTGGTGGGTTCAATCCATCCGCTGGCTTCGAACTCCCGAATTCGTTCGAGAACCTTTTTGCGTTCAATCAAGGAATACCGGTAAGGTTTGCAATGAATCGGGGAGTGATTTCCTGTCTGAATTTCATGTTGGATTACTAACTAAAAACTAATGTCAGTATCTGTCACACTAATTGCTTCTTGGTATTCCGTTAGAATGTCCGCAATCACCCGGTGGACCTCATCCGGTACGTACTGTGGAACGTGTAGTTCCAAAGGTTGGTCCCCGATCCGAACGTCAATCCGTTTCGTGCGCGTTTGTCTTGCTACGTTGGGTGGAGACGCCGAGATGAACGAATGGTCCGATCGCCAGGAGAACACCGTCGCCATCATCTGGGCATCTTCTTCCCGGATTGCCACGTGTCCTTTCGGGGTAATCCCATCACAAACGTCCTGCTAGGGCACGTCCTTAGTTGCGATCTTTATCCCCAGTCCGTCTGTTTCTACTTCGAAACGCCCAGGGGGTTCCAGAGAACTTGCTTCCGCCCCCAAGCGTAATAATCTCACTTCTTTAGTAGATGTTAACATGGGCTTGGGTAGATCCGTAATGTCACAATAATGCCTCTTGTCGTTATACCGGGCGAGGAGGGGGGTGATTCCTTTGTACAACGTTTGAGGGGGTTCCAAAGAATCAACCATCCTCGAAATTTGCACGAGGGGCTCTCCGATCATCGCCTTGGTCCTTTGAATTTTTCGGCTGGTCAGTTGCATCATTCTCGCTATCGTTTTGGGCGGTGGGTAGTAAACGCGCTGTCGTGCTAATTTCAAGATCTCCGGATCATCTTCGCCACTGCTTTCCGCATCATCTGCTGATGACTTTCCCTCTGCGGATTCATCCCATGAGATCATGCGGAGAGTCCCTGCCATCATCGGCGAAACCCGCGGAACCTCGTTAATAGTAGTGTGAAGGGTCAATCGCATGGGCACAACATAGGGTTTTCCTCTTGTATTTCGGAGGACGATCGATCGTCACTCAAAATCCAGGTTCGCTCGTAACGCCA